CCCCTCCCCTCCCCTCCCCTTCCCCCCTCCCTGTTTGCTTGGATTTTACTCCTGTTTCTAATGGTTTATACGTGGCAAGAAAAAAGAACTGAATGCTGGGTCTGTGCATGTACTAGGGTAACCCTCCTTGGGGTGGGAGTGGTGGGACAGGGGGACTAGAGGGGAACTAGCTTGACCCCCCGCTGGCTCTGCAAGCCACCGCCTGAGTGCAAAAACCATCCTCCCTGTACCCCTTGGGAAGGATGAGGGATCCAGCAAGAGCTCTGGTCCACACTGGCCTGATTGCTCCTTCTTGTTCTTTAGAATGGTATTAATATATAAAACCCCCTTCAAAGCAACATCCGTGTCTGGCCTCTATTTCACTCCGGTTCAGGAGCTGATGCCCTTCCTTCTCATCTGCTACCCCATGGTTGTGCTAATGCAAGGCTCTCACCACACCAGGGCCTGCTCTTGGCCTAATCCCTGGGCAGTGCCTGACACACTGAGTGGGGTAGGGAGTTGAGAGCAATGCTGACAGGGGCAGGCTCCAATTGGTAGTGGGCTTGTAACAGGACTGGCACTCCAGCGTAGTCAGGACCCAACTCTTCCAGCAGCTGCCAGTATAACACTGCTAAGTTCACATGACTGCACATAGCAGGGACCAGTCATGTGCTTGCAAGTAGGGGTGGAGGCATGTTGCACTGCTTCCAGGCTAATCATCCCTGTCCCCCTGGTATTAGTAGGGTGAAAGCTGCACCCCTGAGGCAGATAGGTGCCAAAAACAGGGCTGGCAGACAAGGGAGGGCTAATGCCCTGCTTGTAATCCAATTCAAGCAAAGCTGGGCTAAAAGTAATACCTGGAGTCTTAGCTGGAGGAAGCATAGGGCAGTTGCAGCCTGGCAGAGTGGATGGCACTACTAACAACTGGATTAGGGGGAGGACCCGCTGAGGTTCAGCACCCCCTGCTGTGCCCAAACCGCTTCTGTAGCAGACACCTCTCCTTACCCACCATGCCACCCCCAGAATACACCAAAAATGCATACAACCAGTGCCCCACTGCACTAGCTGCCCTCAGCTCCAAAGCAGAGCAAAAGCTCCAGGGCTTTTTTCTTTTTAAGTGGGGAGGGGAATGGCCAAGGCCCATTCCCACAGCTGCTTCAGCTCTTCCTCAGAACAGGATGGAAAGAGGAACTGGGAAGCAGCAAGTAGCACAGCTCCTAGAACCCTATGGGCTCTGCCACAGGGGGTGATAGTGCAAGGCCCTGCAAGAGGAGAGCAGGGACAAAAGCCCTCCACGCATAAGCTTCCTACAAATCCTTTATTGGCTCTCCCACACGCATGCACACGCGCACACACACAGGCATCCACCCCAATGTAGCTCCAGCAGAAAGAAACCCATCCTCTTGCCAGCCGGGCACAGACTTGGCCTCACCTCATGGAATGGGAAGAGTCAAGCAGCAGCCATGGAGGGCTACTGGGAGCAAGGGCACTGGCCAACCTGCTGCTCTCCACCCTCATGGTAAGTGCTATAGTGCAGCAGCAGGAACCCCCTGCTGAAATGCCCCTGCAGCAGGAACCCAGGTACTGGGAGGGCAGGCCCTGCCCCACCCACTACAGCAGTAGCTGCCTTTGCCTTTTGATGGAAGGCATCTTAGGTCAGCCTGCCTCAGCCTCTCCTGGCTTTTCCCAAGGCGAGGGTGGGTGTCTGGTGGTCCACGCCTTACACTTTTCCTCGGCATGGCAGGAGGTTGCTTTGCAAGGTCCCCTTCTAGAGGAGAATTTAAGACTGCCCCTGCCCCCGTTTTCCTTGTGCCAAGCTCACGTACAGATGCTAAGTTTGTTCTGAGGATAGACAGCAAGTCTGAAAAGGCAGGAAGGAGCTGAGGTGGTGGGGACTGAAGATACCTATGGAGTTGGATCGAAGCTGTTGATAGAAAATCCCTGTTGCAGTCCAGGCCATACTCAAGACCTCTTGGAGAGTCAACACAGTTAGCCCTAGAGGTGACAGCTGGTCACTCCAAAGCTGTAGGGTAGCTAGGCTTCCTAGCACAGCAGAGTGTACTACAGCAAGCCAGCTGTACATGAGCAGGAAGAATACTTCCACCTCCTGGCCTCCAACTGGCACACACCAGGGGAAGCAAGGAGTGTTTGGAAGGGCCCCTCCTGGGGAGAGGTGAGTGGGCAGCAGCAGTAGAGGGCAGCAGGACAGAATCACAAGGGTGCAAGGCTTGCACCAACAGTGCAAGACTCTTGCTGTCAGTGCTGAACACAAAGCTCTTGGGCTCCAGGGTGGGGAAAGGACAGCAGCTAAGGGACGGTGGTGATAAGGCAGCTCAGGCCAGTAAGCAAAAGGCCCTTCATTCTGGGCAGTGCCTGCTGTTCCAGGTAGGGCAGATGGGCAGAAGTGGGAGGGTGGCATAAGCCATGCCTGTTACACCCTCTCTTTCTCCCTCCCCTGCAAGGAGTGAGCAAGAGTCATGGGGAGGAAGGTCACAGCACTCCCCATGCTCAACAGGGAGGAAACAGAGGAACCAGGAGACACCCATGAGCGAGACAGAGACAGTGGAGGCAGAGTAACAAGCCTCATGGGATGAGGAAAGCCCCCCTCAAAGCATCAACTCTGAAAAGCAGAGCCCACAAGTGTGTGTGGTGGTAGGGGGGGGTCCCCAGGGAGCCCCAAGAGGCACTTCACAGCAATTTCTGCTTCTTTGGGCTGCCAGCAGAGAAGATGCTGCCATCCCAGCGGTGGGGCCCAGGCCAGGTGCAGCCAAGGCCCTTTTTGGTGCAGCGGTACCCATGGGGACAGCAGTGGCGCTTGTCATCACAGCAGATACCCTATGAAGAGACAGGGGAGATCAGTATGTGATCAGTCTTCCCCCACCACACCCTCTGCCTCCACCCCCCAATAAGAGCAGCAGTCCCCACTGTGTTTAATGGTGGTGCCTCCCACCCCACAATGCCCAGCAGGCATGGAGGGGTGAAGGGGAGAGAAGGAAATAGTCCAGGGCACAGATTCACCTCAGCTCACAGAGCAGGGGCCAGGCACCTAAAACCATATGCTGTGAAGAGCTCTTTTCTATGTGGGCACCAAGCCAACCCCCACCTCCCTCTATCCAAAGCAGCCACCCCAAGAGGCAGCAGGGCTCCTTTGCCCTGTCTGCTACCAACCTTCTTGTAGGGGCAGCAAGCCCAGGCACCCGTGGACGCCTTGCAGCAGGTCTGGTTGTCATGGCAGAAGTGCGTGCTGTCACAGGCCACATCGTTGCTGGGCTCGGGGCTGGCTGGCAGCAGCACAGCTGAGGGGCCCAGGCCTGCAGGCAGTGCTGCCTGCTGCTTCTCACAAGTCTGTGCCAGCAAGTTGCAGGTGTAGCCCGCAGGACAGCAGTGCTGCTTGTCCTTGCAGCACACAGCCTGGGTGATGGAGGAGGGGCGCAGTTGGTGCCTTCATGAGGCATCAGAGAGAGCAGCCTAATGAACATGCTCACCACAAGATGTCCAAGAAGAGAACCCCTGAGTCCTGGCTCCTGCCTCACCCCATTCCAAGCCACTAAACCTCTCCCCTCTCTGGGAACAGCACCCAGGAATCCCAGGTCCCAGCTCCCGCTTTAGGCTACTGGAATCCCCTTCCTTTCCCAAAATGGGGTTGGAGGCAGTGGGTGCCAGGACTCCTGTGTTCTGGTTCCAGAGACAAGACTCCCAGCACACAGATGGAGGGGAATATCAAGGTACCTTCTCACTACTAACCCCCAATCCTCAGTCCCAGCCACTGACTGCCCCCACCTGTCCACTCATCCCTGTTCCTTCTGTGCACTGACCGAGGCAAGGGAAGAGGCTACTTGGAGGGGGGTGCCTGGCAGACTACCTAAAGGGCCCTTGCATGCCCAGGAGGGAGCTGCCAAAACAGCGCCCCCACCCCGTACTCACATTCGGCAGCTGGCAGCAGGCCCAGGCACCTGACAGTTTCTTGCAGCAGGTCTGCCCATCTTCACAGCTGAACGTTGCATTGCACTGCACATTCTGGACCTGGGGGGCGCTGGTCACATGCACCCTCACTGCAGACATCCTCAACGGTTTGCTCAGGCACTTGCCATGTTCCAGGTCGCAGATGTGGCCTGCAGGACAGCAGTGCAAGCCATCCGAGCAGCACACAGCCTGGGCAGGGAGAGGAAGGGGAAGGGCTCACTGTGTGGCACCAACCAGGTCTCACACCTCCTCCTCTAGCTGGACCCTAACCTGCCACTGGCAACTGAACTGTATTTTTGCCTGGCTGGGCACTTCAGGGAGAGGACAGCAACCTGCCATCTGCCAGCAGGTCTGACCCAGGCCACAGCTGATGCATTGCCACAGACCCACAGCACGGAGCTCCCAACCTCACACACCTGAGGCAGGGGACAGCAAGTCCACTGTGCCTGTGGTCCTGGCACCCTGCAGCAGGTGTTTCCATCTGGACAGGACTGTTGGTTGTCGCATTTCACATTTTGGTCTGCAGACATCACACTCAGCAGGGCTGGGGTCTTCTCCAGCCAGGGAATGCTGGTGCTGCCTTGCAGGCAGCTGCTCCCCGTTGAGTCGCACTTGGAGCCCTTGGGGCAACAGTGGATGAGATCTGGACAGCACGTGGCCTGGGCAGGAAAGAAGCACAGGCCCCCAACATGAGACTCCTCAGCCTTTGTTCTCCAAGAACATCCCTGTCACCATCATCTGCAGCCCCCCCTTCCCCATCCTCTGCTCATGCCCCTCCTTCTTAACCTGCAGCCTTGCAGTCATAGTCCCGAGCTTACCCCACAGCTTGGCTCCCAGCTTGACCCATAGCCCCTGTGACTGGCCCCAGAGGGGAAATGGCAGAGTCATGATGAGCCATTGCACTCTTCCTAGTGACATGGACACACCTCTTCCCCCAAAGTGGACGGGAACAAAGACTGCATGTTGGCTCCAGGGCCCATCACAGCCAAGCCTCACTTGACAGCCACTTTGCTTGCTCCAGGGCTCTCCAGGAAGCTGCAGACTCACCCCAGCTGCACTCCTCACCTCTGGAACAGGGCAGCAGCCCCAGGCCCCCGTCACCACCCTGCAGCAGGTGTTTTCATCCGGACAGGACGTTGCGTCATCACATTTCACATTTTGGCTTGCAGAGGCCACTCTCACCAGACCTGGGGTCTTCTCCAGCCAGGGGATGCTGGTGCCACCCTGCTCACAGCTGCTGCCCTCTGGGCTGCACTTGTAGCCCTTAGGGCAGCAGTGCATGTGGTCCTGGCAGCACATGGCCTGAGTAGGGAGAGGGGAAGATGTCCAGCATAAGGCTCCTCACAGCCCTGCCCAGGGAGTTTTCACCACACCACACCACACCACACCACACCACACACCAGCACTGCACCATGCAGAGTCACTGGGTCCCCCAAAGCCCCCTCAAGGTCACCCAGTTCTTCCAGTAGGATATCCTGGCCTTCCTCCATGCTAACAATGCCTCCCAAACTTCTGCTATTAGCAATGTCACTGGTACACTACTCCTATTTGTATCAAAGTCCATCAACAACCAGTCTCTCAAGACTGGCCCCTGAGAAGTGCCACTGGGAGCCTTGCTCCAGCCCAACAGTATCCCTCCTTTCCCCTTCAGCCAGCCCACTCTCTGCCTTCCCAGCCTCACACTAATTCCCATCTTCACCAATCGTTTCCCATATGACAGTGTATCTTGCCCTGGCAGCGTAGATCCCCTGGCATTTCCTTTGTCTAAAAACCTGGCTACCAGGACAGTCACATCAGTTAACATGCAGTACACACACCTTGTTTTCCATTACCTTACTCTCCCATTCAAAATGGATTCTAGGGCCTTGCATGCAACTTCAGACCATCAGGCCTGTGGCTGCCCAGATCACTTTCCCCCCTGCTTCCTCTCAAATAAAAGGACATGTGCTGATCTCCAGTCGTAGAGCACCAACCCTGACTTGAGCGATTTACTAAGACTCCTTGCTCCTGGAGATGAACTCTCATGTCAGAGCTCCAAGACAGACTGGATGTGTCCTCCCTAACTGGGGCAAATTAAGCTCAGTGTACTTTGCTTTCACTTGACCTGTGGAATATCCATGTCCCCACAGTCCTTCCCATTAGCCATCCAGCTTGTTCCCTTGCTCAGAAGCAAAGGGCTGATCTGGGTACAGGTTCCTACCTCATCCTTGCCCCACTTCCTCCTCTCTAAGCCATTTTTTGGTTTTCCTGGCCATAGTCAGGCTTCCTCCTGTATGACACATGGTCCCCACACACCTGTGGCAGAGGGCAGCAGCCCCAGGCCCCTGTCGACAGCCTGCAGCAGGTATTTCCATCTGGACAGGACGTCTGGTCATCGCATTTCACCTCTTGGCTTGTGGAAGAAGTCACTCTCACTTGTGCTGGGGTTTTCTTCAACCATGAGATGGTGGCACCACCCTTCTGGCAGCTGCCCTGCCCTGGGTCACACGTGTACCCCTTGGGGCAACAGTGGATGTGGTCTAGGCAGCACACAGCCTGGGCAGAGTGGAGGCGGGGGGATTCTGGTCATACACAGAGGCCACGAGTAGCCATGGGGGCAGGAGAGCTCCAGACAGGACCCAGACAGGACTCAAGCCTGCAGAAGGCAGCACAATGCCTCAGGGACCCACACAACTAACCCGTCAGGTACCTCTGCAAAGGGACAGCAGCCCCAGGCCCCTGTCGACAGCCTGCAGCAGGTATCTCCATCTGGACAGGACGTCTGGTCATCGCATTTCACCTCTTGGCTTGTGGAAGTCACTCTCACTTGTGCTGGGGTTTTCTTCAACCATGAGATGGTGGCACCACCCTCCTGGCAGCTGCCCTGCTCTAGGCTGCATGTGTAGCCATTGGGGCAACAGTGGACATGGTCTGGGCAGCACACAGCCTGCGAAAAGTGGGGGTGAGGGATTCTGGTTAGCAGGTATACATGGGGGCCAATGAGGGCAGGAGAGCTCCAGACAGGAGTTAGGCCTGCACAAAGGAGCATAGTGCCTCAGGGACCCATATGACCATCCCATCAGGTACCTCCGAATAGGCACAGCAGCCCCAGCCCCCAGTGCTCAGTTGGCAACAGGTGTTCCCATCTGGGCAACTCGTAAAGTCGTCACATTTCACATTCTGAGCTGGAAAGCAAGACAAATAGTTGGAGCCAGGTATGGGAGCCCTACCTTCCTCAACACACAGCTCCAGAGGGGACTACAGAGGTGTACTTTGCCTTTGACAGCTTTGTGAAGTGTGTCACAATGAGGGAAGGGTCCTGTTATGGAGACGCCCACCAAGCTAACTGAGGAATACTGTGCGTGGGGACTAGTGCCATCCCAAGGCCATGTTGGCAATAGCAAGGGAAGGCAAGGTAGAAACACCAGTACAGCAGAGGGGAGGGTTCCCCCTGCCCTGATGCCTTCAAGCAGTCCAAGGAGATGCAAGGTGAAAACAAAGCCAGCCCCCGCTTCCTGCATTACCTGAGCTGGAGACTACTGGGAGCCTCATGAGTGGCTGCATCTGGCCCAGTGCAGAAGTGCATGTAGAGTGCTGCAGGTCACAGGTCATGCCCTGGGGGCAGCAGTGCAGGTGGTCGCTGCAGCAAACAGCCTGCACCCCGGGAGAGAACCCACAGGCCATAAGACTCCTTGAAGGCCAAGGGCTCCCAAAACCAGAGCCACAGACTCCATTCCCCAGCAGCCACATGCATGGGGTGAGGGTAGGGACCAGCCATGAGCTCAGCTTCCAGCAACAGAAGAGCAAGGCCCAGCCCCAGGGTACACCCTCTAGCCTACTTGACAGGCCCAGAACCCAGTAAGCAGCAGCCATTTCCACTTTCTGGGCTGGAACAGCTGAGGGAAGGCAGCCAACTCAGAGCCTCATATTTTGGAGGACAGTGATGTCTGCACACAGGGACCTCGGCAAATCCACAGGCTGTGAGGGACCTTCAACATCCCCAGATTTTGGATGGGGCACAAGTGTCACAGCATTCGCCCCCACAGCATGCATCCCGTCATGGGGATTCTGGCTGGCATCTGAAGTCTCCACATCACAAAATTTGGTGCCTGTGGCTTAGTTTAAAAGAGCTGTCCCCTCCTGGAGGGCCTGAACCAGCCCAGGGCAGATACAGTACAGAGAGGAAGCAGCAGCAGCCAGGAACATAGTGCTGCCATTCACCCAAAACAGGTCTCGTTTGGTGTAGCTGTGGCTTCTGGGCTGTGCCCATGCCTGCCCAATGGCACCACACAGGGTAACCCCATAAGATTCCCAGCCTCATCCTTTCCATAGGAAGATACCACCCTGCCCCAGGTGCTGGCTGTGCAGTGCATGGCACCACCACTAGGCGGCATCAGTGCACTATAGGCCCTGGCTTCAACCTGCCCACCTCTCTCCAGGGACAGAGGGTGCTAAGACCAGGTATTGCCTGGCAGTGCTTAGGCACCTCCATGCCATGCACGTGGAGGATGGGGAAGAAATGGATCTTCTTAAAGGGGCAATGCATGATCTCAGTGGGTGCACTGGACAAACACAGAGCTCAAGTCTCAGGAGATGCCTGGCTGCCACATTGAGGGTAGGGGGGGAAAAATAGGCAGATCAGAGTACTTCAGGGCAGAAGAGAGGTCCCATGTCATACCCTCCCCCAGGTCTCTTGCAAGGGCCTCACTCACATTCTGCAGAGGACAGCAGCCATACTGGTTAGTTGGCAGCTGGCAACACGTGGCACCATCTGGACACATTGACTTCTGGTCTGGGCAGGTGGTCTTGTCAGCCAACACTGGGAGAGGAGGAGATGTGAAGTGAGGGGAGCTGAGAACACAGACCATCAACCCCTGGCTGTCCCAGCTGCAGCCCTGCTGCCTCATATAGCACCTCCAGCTCCCAGGACCAGGTGTGAGCAGGGTTGGAGCAGCCTTGGGGTGCCACACTGTGGAGATGAACTCCCAGACTAGCCCTGTGCTACAGCAAACACCTCCCAGGAGCCAACAGCCCTCCCCAAGCTTCACTTGCTGTTTCTCCACCTCAAAAGGGGTTGAATAAGACCAGAGGCCTCCACAGACATGGGGAGGTGGGGAAGTGTGGTTGCTGCTTAGCTCCACCCAGGGAGGAACGATTCCCACATCTGCCCGCAGCTGGGGGCCAGGGAGGATGGAAGGTCCCAGGTGGAATTTGGTCAAGGTCCCATTTCACTATTGCCCAAGCAACCCCCTAAATGCTTCTTTGCCATAATGATGGGCGAGAACAGCCCTGGGGTCTCTGCAGGGGCACAGCATGCAGCACAGAGGCCACAGAATCCTCTTGGGATGAGGCAGATTGGACCCTCCTACAGCCCAAACACCAGATCCCATGCCAAGTACAGGGGGGCCCAGACTCCCTGCCTGGCCCCTGAAAGCCCACCCAAAGGGCAGCAGCAACCCAAGGGGACATCTCCCCCATACCTAGTGCCCCGAGCCCTGGCATCCGTTTCCTGGCTGGGAATTTCATGCGCATGGGCTGGTCCCCATCAGCTGACAGGCACCGGGAGTGAGCCAGGTCACATGTAGTGGCACGAGGACAGCAGTGCACCTTGTCCACACAGCAGGAGGCCTATTAGACAGGGGGATGTTAGCACCAGAGCAAAGGGGAGCCAGGTCCCTTCCCCTGCGGCTCCATCCTTGGGGAATCCAGAGACCTGCTCCCAGACAACCACAGGAGCTCAGCCAGGTGCCCTGAGACAGCTTCACCCCCTTTGCTTAAGTGGGACCTCCCCCCCAACATGGCTGCACTTCTGTGCTTCTGTGGGCTCCTGAGGTCAATCCTGCTCTACAGCCCCTTGCTATCCCTGCCCTGGGCACACCATGTCAGTTTTGCCAATGCTCCTCAAGCCCATCCCACAATACCCTACATTTCTACCCCGGGCTTCCCCCTCCCCAGAGGTGCTGGTGCTTCTCAATCTTCTGCTGCTGCCCCACCCAAATTCTCCTCTTGGTGCTCCCTACCTCTGGCATAGGGCAGCACCCCCAGGTGCCATCAACAGTTACACAGCACGTGGAATCATCAGGACACTGTGATTCACCGTCGGGACACTGGACAGCAGCCAGGTCATGAGGATCTGAGAAGACCGAGGTCAGAGTCTGTCACAAGAGCACCGCTGTGCCAGGGGAAGGGAGGGGGGAGGGGAAGGGTTGGAAATCTGTTTCAGGGTGGCTCTAACCCTGGCTGCTTGCTGCCTCATGCAGGCCATGTGGAAGGGGCAACAAGGGCAAAAAGGCAGCCTGAACCACAGATCAGCATGCTCCAGTTGGTGGCCAGGTGCATGGTCCTCCTCCAGAGGGAGATGTGGAACATATTCCCTCCCCTGCCAGTCCCACAGCTGGAGAAACCGCCACTTCCAGTGCCCACAAGAGGATAGGTACATGGAAGGACTTGGCTAAACACAGGCATATGGCAGGTGAGTGCAACAGCCACTGTGTAGCTGATGTGAAGAAACACACCTGGTGGAGACCCTGGTATCAAGCAGCCCAGAGTGATATTTGGTTACATTCAGGATACAGGGTTAGAGGCAGAGGCCAGCAATGCCAATGGCAACCCAGTTGGCCACATAGCTTCCTGGCTAACTGGGGAGCCAGAAGAGCCATGGGCCCTCACCAGCTCAATACCTGGAAGCGTGAAGCAGGATTTGCTGTCAGCGCTGCAGTGGGAGCCTTGGGGGCAGCAGTGATGCCCATCAGCACAGGAGACAGCCTGCAGGAAAAGAAGGGTGGGGAGGGCATTGCCATCAGGTCTGGATACGGCAGAGAGAAAAGTCAACATCTTGCAGAAGTAGCCAAATCTCATCCCAGTCATGGAAGGGAGGGGTTGACATGGGGCTGGGGACTCTAGCCCACCACAGCTCTCCAGGTGCATCTGCATCATCTTCCACCTTAACAGGTAGGAAACAGCCACGGTGAGTGTGTCTGCACCAAGGGCAGAGGAGGGAGAATAGGACCCAGGAGTCCTAGCTCTCAGATGGAGCACACTGCATCTCCTCATACAAAAAGCAGATGCTTCTCTCTCTTGCTGGAGAAAGACGAGGTACATTGGCAAAACCTATCCTGTAGCATTGCCTCTTCATGCCCATGCTCAGCCCACCTAAGGGCAGGGCTGGCACCAAACAGCCCAATCCAGCCCAGCCATCTCCCCCATGGGGTGATGGATACAACTACTTGTGCCCCAAGAACAAAGCAGGCAGGAAACCCATGTGACCCTCCCCTGCCCCAAGGCACTCACCTCTGACAAGGGGCAGCAGGAAGAGGAGCCAGCCGAGGTGCGCAGGCAGGTGTACTCCACAGGGCACTGGGTACCATCAGGACATGTTCTGGAGGGCTCAGTCACAATCCCTGTCTGGATCATAGGCAGGGACTTCAGGAAGACCTAATGAAGAGGGGGAAGGTGGCTGAGGATTGGCTGCTGGGAGTCCTAAAGCTGAAGACAGGGCCTCCCACCTACCCACACTGGCTCTAGGTCACAGTGCAAAGCAAGGAGCCGAAAGGCTGCCTTGGGTTGACCCTCCAAGAAATTCACCAGACCCCATCTCCTCCTGCGGGGGGCACAAGGAACAGATTCTCACTCCATAGGGAGAGGCACTGTACAGGAAGAGCTCCCAGCCCAGGAGGGAGGGTGGGAGGCAATTGCTCGCATGCAGAGTCTTCCCCTAAGACCCAGTCTGCTACTTGCATGGCAAGCACAGCAGAGGGCCTTGGTTGCAGAACTGGTTCCTTTTGCCCACTGTGCAGGGCCCCGGTGAAACTGGACCCCCTTCACAGGTCACTAGAGAACAGGCCCAGGGGCTGAGGCCGCTCCAGGAAGTGAGATCACCTCCCCACATGGGGAAGTAGCTGCCAGCATGTAATGGGGAAGGCTAACCGCAGTTTCCCAGCAGGTCACTGAATTACAGTCAGGCCCTGGTAGCAGGGGTTGGGCTGGAAAGGAGTGCTGGCTGTGGCAATGCTCAGCCTTGGCCCCTGAGCCACCCCCAGGCAGACCTGCCTGCCCCTCACCTACAGGCTCTACTGTCTCCAGGACTGGTCCCCTCCAGACTTCCCCAGCCTTCCCAGCACAAAGCTGGCTGCCTCCTGAGTGCCCACCACAAGCACTCAGCCTCGAGGGCAGCTCAGGCCCCGTGGGTCCCCACTCAATACACAGGGACAGGGCAGAGCTCTGTTGATCTCGGTCTTGTTTCATACAAGCCTCCAGTGTAAGGGGCATTCAGCTCCGGGTCAGACCACAACCTCTCTGGAGTGGGCTCCATGCTCAGCCCTTGCTTAGCTCCCCCATTTCCCCACCCCGCAGCACCCACACCAACTACCCTCCTGTACCACAGCCTTGTGGGGAGCTCAGCCCTCAGGGCAGCCCATCCCCTGCAGAGGGTTTCTCTGATGCCCCTTCAGCTGTGCTGACACCATGAGAGGAAACAGGCACTCACCGGAGACAGCGGGCAGCAGGCATAGCCATCCCCACCTGGCTCCTGGCAGCAGGCCGAGAATCCTTCACAGACCCGTCCATCAGGGCACCGCAGCGAGGCCACAGCGCCAGCCAGCACCAGCCACAGTGGCACAAGGGTCCACATCCTTGGGTAGGGCATCTGCAAGAGACCAGCCAGCAGCTGTTCAGGGCTCACCTGCAGGCAGCAGCCTCACCCCCGCAGTCGTGCAGGGGACCTGCCTTTCACGGTGGGCAACCAGTCAGATGCAGGGCTAAACAGGAGCCCAGTGGGCCTGCACTTGCAGCATGGGGCAGGGCCCCACCTGCCCTCCCAACCCCTGCCCTTGGAGGGGCTCTATCCTAGTGGCCTGGCCCAACAGGGATGGGGGGTGGAGATGGGAAGGGAGAAGGTCAGGATCTTTGCTATGCATGGGTGCTTTACTTGGTTCCCTTACTTACAGGGAGAGGAAACCCTCATGTTGCTTTCTATTTGCCTTCCTCAGCCCTCCACAGCTGGTAGCTATCTGCCCCTCCCACTGTAGGGCTGTCCCCATGCTGAGTGTTGCCGGCACCAGCTCCTGCTGCCAGGCAGATGGGCAACGGCTGTCATGCAGTGCTGTGGTGAACATCTGGATGTGCCAGCAGAGGCCAGCAAGCATGGCAGGGGAGCTGCGACTCAGCTCTGGTATCAGCCTCGGCTCCTCCCTCCCAGCTCTCCGCTGCCATAGCTAGGAGCCTGCAGCACTACAGCTGCCCCAGTTCAGATGCTCCCCCAGACCCAGCCCACAATGTACTGCCTGGTGCCAGGACACCCCAAAGGCCCAGGGCATCCACCGCCTGTGACCTGCTGTTGAGAAACGCAGATGCAAAGCAGAGTGCTATGGGAGGGCAGGTGGAGGATCTAGGGCCTCCAGACAGCCACAGCTCACACCTCTCCCTCCCCTCCTCACCAAAGCAGCCAAGCTACCCAAGCAGCAAAGTCCAACCTGATAAGGCCTCCTCCCTCCCCCTTCCCACAATAAAAAAAGCTCAGCTCCAGTAGGGCCTGGACACAGCCTAGCAACAGGAACAGGAACAAAAGTCATTTATTAGGACACAGTAATGTGGGGAAACAGCCAGACTTGACATAGGGTCCGCCCTGCCCCCTTACTCCATGGCTTCCCAGCCAGATCCACAAGTGGGAGGAGCACAGCCTCTGGGTTAGGACACAGAGCTGGGCACCAGGACCCTGGACCCCATATGTGGTGCCACCAGCTTTTTCCCCCCCCGCAGGGACCAGAAACCCCACACCTGTAACACAGGCAGAAAGAAAGGGACGGGGCAGTCCTGGGTGGGCTCCTCAGCTTGGTGTGATGATTTCAGAGGCACCATCTGCCATCCCCTTTCTGTGAACAGGGCCCATTGCTGTTCACCCCCCACCCAACACACACTCTCTCCAGCTGAGCCAGCTTCTGCAAGTAACCAAGGCAGGGGGGCATCTCATGGCCTGCAAGGCAGGCAGCTCTCACACAGGCATGTGGCTTCTGCCATGTGCTGAAGGAGGAGCAGACAGGCACCCTTGCTGCACCCCCAGGTGAACTTCCTCGACAGCTCTGCCTGCTGTGAGCCACACAACACCCAAGACACCTACAGCATCAGTCCCTGCTGCACAGCTTAGGGAGCGCCAAGAAGCTGCAGAGAGGAGTGTTCACGATGGGTGTACACCAGCCTTGTGCGCAGGGCAAGCCTTGAGAGCTGGGCTTGTGGGATGGCTCCAGGCTCCCACAGCCCTGCAGCAGTCCAAGAAGCTGGGCAGTCAGGCTCTGTGTCACAGGGAGATCCCCAGCACTTGCGCCTCGGTGGCAGGCAGGACGCTACCCCAGCTTCCTCTGCCCTCCCAGCTGAGGAACACTGGGACTCTCCCCTCCACCAGCCTCACCTCCTCTCCTTGGGAGAAGGGCAGGAGCTGTTGAGACAAGGGCTGCCAAGCTCCTTCCCCCAGTGGCTCCAGGAACCCAATTCCCATTGAAGTGAACGGGACCACGACATACTTCCTGCCCAGGCAGGTTTTCAAATATCAGTGCAGTCCATTCCCAGTGCCACAGGCCTCGCTGGGGGACTGAAGATGAGTCACTGCCTTGTCCATAAAGGTGGAGACCACAGCACCGAGCCACTGCCCAAGGAGGGGCATGGAGCTGGTTTCCCAGTGCTCATAGAGCCTATGGACAGACCAGAAGCTGCACTGTTCCCAAACCTGGCACAGTCCTTTGGCCTCCTCCTTCCTAGAAGGGCTAGAGTGACCACTACCCACTGTACCAACAAGGTGCTGCCTGGCCTGAAAAACCACACCCTGGTGCTCCAGAGCCCCTAGAGGGAAGGCCACAGGAGATGTCCAGCTCACAAAGACAGGGCAAAAGGACCTGTAGAGCCCCTCTGCCCTGCTGGGGAGGGAGAGAAGGTAGGGAGATGGACAAGCTATCTCTGAGCCTCAGAAATGACAGCAGGCCAGCTCCACAGGAAAAAAAAGCAGCTCCCACAGCTCCCCCAGGCAAGCCAGCCCCAGCACAGACAGCACAGCAAGGCATCTGCACACACAGCACTCCTCCCAGCCCCAGCAAAGCAGCTGAGCACTGAGAAGAGGAAGGAGCGGCGTGTAGTCAAAATGCTGAACTGGTATCAGGAGACCTAGGTTCCAGGCCCCTCTCTGCCACAGACTCCCAATGCGACCTTGGGGCTGTCGCTTCATCCTGCTGAGATTTAAGATCTCCATACTTGACCTCCAGGGGCCAAATAAAGCAAGTATCTTAACTCTGGCAAAGCATATTAATGCTGGCAAAGCATACTTGATACCACCCCCCCGGGGCTGGGAAGTGCTGAGGGTTAGCAACACCAGTGATCTGATTTTCCCATCAGATGAAGCACCAGTGTTCTTGAGCTGGATATAGAAAGAGAAGGGAGCACTCCCAAGCCTTCAGGTCTGCAAGCACACAGCATGTCCAGAAAAATCAGCTGCATGGAAGACTCTGTAGCCAGCACCGCAGCAGCCATAGGGACTGCTGCATCTGGCAACAGAGTCCTGTGAATGTGGCCCTGTGCAGGCCATCCAGGGAACCTGACCCTGGGCCTGGCCAGGTCTGGGAGACAGCAGAGCCAAAGGAGAGCAGGCAGGATGTACCTCTTCCCCCCTGCTACCCTCCTAGTCTATCTCTTTGGTATCTTGCAAGCTCGAGCCACAAGACACAACATCCACAACCACAGCTTGCTAGATAACATCGCCTTGTGGTGCAAGAACCCAGCATAGGGTGTTTATCTCACCCACTGCATCTCAGCTGACAGGGCCAGACTCTACCAAAAAGGAGGTTACAGTCATCCAAAAGCCCAGAGCACATGGGACAGGGAGGGGTGAGGGGGGTGGGCTGTGGCCTTACTAGCCAAAGGCAGCCCTGTGGCCCCTCTGCCCCCACCAGCATATGCAAGGAGCAGTCTCTTACCCAGGGCCAGACATCTCAGGCACCAGCCTTTTCTAGCACCCACCCAAGGAAACTAAGCTAACAAGAGGGGCTTGGTCCCTCACTGGGGAAGCACAGGGAAGTATCTCCCATAGATGCCAAGGCAGCTGGGAGTCAGAGACCTGCAGGCAAGGAACTGTTCCCACTTCCCCAACCAACCAACCTTCCTTTCATATCCCTTGAAAGTCACAGCCCCCAAGGCCTGCTTCCTCCTGGCTAAGGGACATAGCACAGGATCCTCTGGGCTGACAGACAGGAGAGTTCGGTCAGAAAAGAAATCTAAAGAGCTGGGAGGCGCATCAGGTTACATCATGAAGTTACTTCTCCCCCAGCTCACCACTGAGTCTATCTCCAGGCTTCAGACCCGCATCCCTGCACCCTCCAGCCCCAGGAGGGACCCCTATTTTATACAAGAAGCAGTCAAGGCCCAATAAGTGGCTGCAAGTCAGCAACAGAGCCAGGAAGAGAGGTTCAGACTAGTGGATAGCACTGGCTCATGCCAAACTGCAGAGTCGATCCTGGCTGTCTGTAACAACCTCCTGTCCCGTAAGTGCTCTGAACCACAGGATTCTCCTCCTTGGAAAACCAATTCCACCAACTGTAACCAGGAAGGAGCCATCCCTGTACCTGGCTGGGACCACAGCTCCTGGAGTCCATGTCTGCTCCATTTCTACCCCCCACCAGTTAACCCAGGCCAGACTGCTTCCCACCCCTCACCTCAGTTCCCCACCTGACAAAGGGACAATGCCTCCATCCTGGGCTACACTCACCTCTCTGCATAAGCACTGCCAGAAATGCCTTCAAAGGACAGTTCAGTTCATGCCTACGCACAGTGGACAGTGGTCATCTTACTATTCCTTGCATCTTTCTAGTCCATAGAAACATGTGGGCTCCAGAGCAGCTCTCCCAGCACCCATCTCACCCCCTCACAAACACTGCAAAGCCCTGTGAGAACCCCTCTGACCCCAACCAGCCTCTCGCTATTGAGAAGTGACTTGTCATCACTCTCACAAGCCGCGTGTTAGAGTGGCATGCAACTCTGGACAAGTGTCAAGTCACCAGCTTTTATGGCAAACAACATGCATGAGACCTGGAATCGTGGCTGTATCCCAGGTGCACAAGAACAATGTGCGTGTGGGTGAGTGCAACGGTGCGTGCAGCAGGGCGGGGAAAGAGGACTCGCAAACCCCAGCACTTCTCACTTGATTCATGTGGCCAGTTTCTAATAACATTTCTGAAAGCCAAGTGGGAAATGAAACTCAAGCTAACTGGGAAAATAAAACTGAATAGACTAAGGTCAGAGACCAAGGGCTTATCTACCCAAGGAAACAGCCCAGAGGGCAATAATGCACTAACTCCATCTGTGGATGTTCTTATGAGCCGATAAGGAACTAGTGCTCTTTACACCCCCTATTTACTCTGCAACAGGTATTGCAGGCTAGTTTCCCCCAAGGACAAGCCCAATATAAAGAAGCATGCCCAAGCCAGGCAGGGCCTATTAAGGGTGGAAAAGCCTCCTTCTCATAAGATGCTGACCCCTGCTGTGGCTGACAGTGTTTCACCTTCTAGTATAGGGCTGAGGAGGTGACTAGACCATTGTTACAATCCTACATAGCTCACAATCATGAGGTTGTATTCCAGCTGCATTGGGGCCAGCAACCATGTTGCACCAGTATCTCCACAATACTTGTTTCCACAGTGTAGACAAGAATCAAGAAGCAAAGTGGGGTGGGAAACAGAGCCAGCCCTGTTTCACTGCACCTTCAAGCTCTTAATTTCCTTCTCATCCAACACGTTGTTATGCCAGGCAGCAAGGGGAGGCTCTCAGACAGCAGTGCCCAAGAGATGCATACAATAAAGGCTCTGGGGAGACCTGCTCCAGGCAAAGAATTCCATAAATTTGTAGAGTCTGGTCAGAACAAACATATGCTGGTTGGCTGATCCCACAAACCCAGTGTACGCACCCAGTTAGCTGAAGCAGGACTGTTTACTATTCCAGCCATAAATGCAGAGGCAGCTGCTGTTTTCATAGCCAGGTCAAGGCAAAGTTACAGAAGCTCCAGACTCAGAGACTTGCTACCAAGGGGAATTCGCTCTCAGAAATTAGTAACCCGCACAACCTGCCAGGCTTGTTCCAGCACTAGGTTAAAACCATCCTTCCTCGCCTCTCTAAGACTGAGGTACCAACCCCAGCACCAATGAGGAGAGAGGGCTTATTTGCTTCTGCCTTTGCTACCAATAAGAGGTGCGTTCTCAGCAAGATGATCAGCATCGGATCTTAGGGCAGGCAAAACTCTTTGAGCAGCTTTGAGTGCGGCAAACCAAGGAAATGCCACATGCAGGAACACACGGAACAGGAAATATAGCATGGGCCTTGCCTACCTACACTGCAGTAAAAGAAAAACTGTCTACGCCCAGTTTCCACGAGAACTGAATGAGCCTAGGTACACTGACATCTTGCTAAAAAGTCACCTGCTTTGGCACTGAAAACAGCCTCAAACACTGAAGGGACACAGTTCCCCACAGAAGGGTCTAGCACAAGGATATCTCCCCCTGAAGAGCGTTACTTGGTCACAGCCGCCCCATACTACGCCAGGATTCTGCTTCTGGGAAGGGCCCGATTTAGCGTGCTTGGCTACAGCAGCCAACATCTGCCTAAGGAAAAAATGCCAGGCTAACTCATTCATCCAACCAGCACCACTAAAGTTTAATCACATGAACCCAGCTCTTTGTTCTTTCAAGCACATCATCATGGGATACTTCACAGACATGGGAATGAATCACTTCCTTGGGCAGAGAAGAGCTAGGTCCTCAACCCATGCAGCGCCTGCACACACTTTATGCAGGGAAAGAAAGAAAGAAAGAAGAGGGGCAGCCATGTTCTCCCTGTTGTGCATGCAGTCCCACGTGTTCATGACAAGACCAGTTTCTACCTCGCGTATTAACTCAAGCAGAAGCAGAGTGAAGCACGGGCCTAGCTGGGCATATGGCAACAGACCCATCACCGTCAGCACGGAACAATGTCAGACACCTGAAATCAACACTTTGCAGTACCCAGCTCTCATCTCTGGTGCCAGCTGCACTCGACTCCATCCACTCACAGCAACAAGGGGAACTCAGGCTGCTGCTGGGTGCCTGCCCTGCCCAGCACAGGGCAGGCTGAGCAGCCAGCCGGGTTGCTGGGGCAAAACAGCCAGAGAAGCAAGGAGGCGAGATGCAGAGCACAAGGGAGGCCCCTTGAGAAGGGAGAACTCCTAGTGAGGTGGCAGGCCTGGGAAGGAAAGGAGAAAGGAGGGTCCTTCCAGGGGGCCAACCCCACAAACCTGGGGGAGGAGGGCAAGGTGTGAGCCCCCTTGCCCTGCCCACCCCCTATCACAGCGACTTCACCCAGAGCTGTGCCCCTCTCCTAGCTGGCAGGGTGGGAGCTGCACTCCTCAGGACAGTCCTCTCTGCCCTTGGCCTGTGCAACCTGAGAAGGTGGGCAAGGATGGGGTGGGGGGGCAGAAAAGGCACCCCCAGCCCTGACACTCAACCGACTGATTTTTTTTAGTTTTTAAAGGAAATCTGTTCATGTCCCAACTCGAATCAGCCAAATCCATTCCAAATCTGCCAGTCATTCAAGAACTGCATGTGGCCCTACACCCCACAAGTCTCCTCCACCCCCGCCTGGGGCTTCCGAGGTTTCCAAATCCTTTGGCGGGCATCCTACTTGCAGGCCCGAGCCTGAAAGCCCGGGGTTTGGATGCCCCCGAGCCTGGCCTGCCCTCGGCCAGACGGCCACGGGAGCAAGCCAGGGAGGAGTCTCCCCGTGCCCTAAAGTCGGCATGGAGCCAGGGTCTCCCCGCTGGAAGTGGCAGTGGGAGGCTAAGTAAGCATGACCCCAGCCAGGGTGGCTGCCACCCCCTGCCACGTTTGTGGCTCTCCTGCCAGGAGGAAACCCAGCTTGGCGGTCAGGGTATTTCCCCTGCCAGGTGGAGCCCCGCTCAGCGCAGCGCCGGAAGCCCGGAGAAAGTACCGACACCCCGCACCAGCCTGGCACCACCCCGCGCGGCGCGGCCTGGCCTGGCAGCACCCGCCCCGCCCCGCGCGGTACCTGCAGCTGCGGCGACCGGCCCAGACCCCAGCTCCCGGCCCGGCAGCAGCACAAGAGCCGAAGCCACTGCCCAATGCCAGCCCCAGCCGCTCCCCCGGATTGGCCCACGGGCCCGGCCTGCCTCGCCCCCATTGGC